TTAGTGAACCACACACAGCCCCTGCTGAATTAAAGAAGCCAAGCCCACGTTCCCCAGCGCTTTCAGCCATGCTGCCTGAACCTCCTCTTATTCCCAGCCTCCCTCTGTCCGCTACAGTCTGCTTATACTATACAAACACATGCAGGGTCTCCCCCAGAGATGTGCAGTTTTAATAAAATCAATCCACAGGGACTAGCAGGGAAACCAAAGAGATCACACTGAGGGCCCACTTGCCCACGCAGCCTTATTTCTCCTACCACTGTCAAGAATGTCCAGATAGGTCTCATCAGACCATGGCCATGCCCTGCCCTCTGCACTTTGGCTCCTGCAGTTTTCTCATTTGGAATCCCCTTACCTGTCCTACCCTGATTACCTAAGTAAATGCAAATCACGGACCAGCTAAACTCCACCCTCCTTCCCCAAGCCTTCCCTGGACAGTCTCCCTCTCTATCACTCTCCAAGAGCCCCTGATTAACTCATTACCAACCTGTTCTGTCTACTAATAGCTTTACGTTACTATTCCATTTTTCTGGCAGGAACACAAGTTCCCTGAAGGCTAAGACAATTCTTATGCTTCTCCATCCACAGTAGCCATTAACAGAGGGCCAGACTAGTGCAAAAAAAGGTGTTCAGAGAACTCCCCTCTCATCACAGTAAATTTTCAAGCAGAGGCTGCTAGAGAAGGGATTCTGGTAGTCGGTGGAGGGCTGAGCTAGATACAAAGCTGAACTCTCCCAAAAGGACGTGACCACGATAACAGGATCAGTGAGACAGGGATTGTTTTTGAAGGTCACTGTCTGATTTTCTTCAACTTCACGACATGTGGAGCAAATGTTTATTCTCATGGTTTTGAGGCTTAAAACTGCACGTGAATCCACGTAAGGAGAGTCCTGGCCCTTCCCTACCTTTGGGACCCTCCACCTCCTGACGGTTTTCCACCTGTGACACCAGCACATCAGAACCTCTCAAATCAGAGGTTCCTGGGCGTCGCTCACAGGATGCACACTCCAGTGCACGTTCAAGTTCAGCAGCAGGGCGACAACTCTATGTCCCTTAGCTTTGAAGATGCCCTACTCCAGAGACAGGATCAGGGCACGGTTCCTGACCTACTTCCACAGAGGGGCAGAACCCTTCTATACACACTTGCCAGCTGCCCAAGAGCTGGCAGTCTTGGTTTGCCCATGTGCTAGGGGAATGAAAAAAAGTGCTCTGCGAATAGATTTTCAGTATCTACTCCAGATCCCTTTAGTGTTAGCTGATCCCGGGAGGACTGGAGGCGAGGAAGGGAGGAGCTTTGGGCAGCTGGGCCACAGCCCCAGAATTTGTACTCACATCCGCCAACAGGAAGGCATCCACCTCATTGTGGTAAGTGTCAAACAGAAGGCTCAGGGCCTGCCTGGGGAGTTGGGGACAGGGGAAGGTCATAGAAGACGTCAGAACAGACCTAGTGTACTGGAAGACCCATCCTCTCCCTCCTTCTCCACAGCTCAGGAATCAGACTCCGGTTTAAAGGGGTTCCCACTCTTCCCTTATGTCCCATGAAGACTGAAGGCTGGCAAGTCCTTTCTAGTTGGCCACCTTCTACCTGGAGAACGTGGCAAAGTACTAGAGGGAAGAGATGTAACATACCCTGAAGTGGGGATCTTCTCCTCTAAGACTCTCGGGCCCCAACACCTGCAAGAACCCCTGGCCCTGGCACAAAGGCAAGCAAGGGTATCTGCTAGGGTCCCCTCACGGTTCCTGCTTGGGCCACATCCAAGATGGTACCCACTCTCACCTGCTGATGGTCTGCTTGACTGGCCTCTCTTGCAGATGGATGAGGTAGTTCAAGGTGGAGGGGCTCTGGTCATCATTCACCTGTGTAAGAAGTGCCCTCTTCAGAGAAGGGTGGTGCCTGTACCACAGCGCAGTGCTACTACCCCATGTCCACCCAATGCATTCCATATCACCCTCTGCCCACTACCTCCCCAGCCCTACGTGGCCGTCAGCCTCCCCACCACACACGAACCGTCCGGGCCAGGTCACTGCGTACAGCTTTCTGCTCCATCAGCTGTAGCCGAATGTCGATGTCAAACTTTCGACAGTATTGAATATACTCGTGGCTGCCCAGGGCGTGCTTGCTGGTGGGACAGGGGGACAAGGCCATTAGCATTCTGGGGACTTACTGGGACTTTCAAGGGAAATGCATACCTTAGCCTCAGGGAGAGAGAAACAGGAGGAAGGGGGAGGAAAGGTGAAGGGGCAGTATACCTGTCATGTACCCCCACCTTAGCTCTTAGGAGATGTTATGGTAGAGCTTGGGGAAAGAAACAGAGGTCTGTCTAAAGAAATGCCACCTATTACATTTAACCCTTGGTCTGTACAAGCAATGACTTTCCTAGGTATTTATTACCATTATCACCACTTCACTCTAGGGGTGGGAACTTCTAGAGGGAGTGGGGAACAAAGAGATTTCTCAGGGGCAGTGTGTAAACCCCATCCTCTTGGCTTTGGTACATAGGACACAACAGAAGCCAGCCTGTGCTCAGGCTTGGGTGTGGAGCTCAGTGGGTGACACTATCCCCCCAACACTGTGATCCTAAGTCTCACATCCCCCACCATTACCAACTGGGTGCTGAGACCAACCAACCAAACCCACCAAGATTCCAGGTCTATTATCCCCAACCCATCAAAGTTCTGCTTCTCACCTCCCTCTGTGGGTCCTGCGATTGTGAATAACAACGTAAATCTCTACAGACCACCAGCATGCTATTCCCACCGCTCAGGTGAGACCCCCGTCCCACCCCCAAGTTTCGGAGAAGGGGGCTTAGGGAGTCCCTCGGTGATCCAGCCCCTTCCTCCCTCCAGATCACACCTCAGTCAGAAAGGAAGTCGAGGAGAAGGGGCAGGCTGAGTCCCACTTGCAGGCCAGCACTGCAGGCCTGGGCCATGTCCCAGCAGCTGGGTAACAGAAGCCGGAAAGGGACTTCCTTCCTCAGCAGAGCTGGGAATCTAGGCCAGAAATGGAGAGGAAAGGAGCAAAGCACAGGGCTCTGTGCAGAAGCCGACGGAGGTGCCTGGGCTGGAGGCCAGTCCAGTCCAGCTAGGACGTAAGTGGGTTTTCCACATCCGGAGGTGCCAAGCCTCTGATTTAGACCCCAACCTAAGACTGAGCTGCAGCCAAAACCTGGGGGTGGGAGAGGCTGGGCTGTGGGGTGGGGCTGGTGGGAGTGCCCCGGGAGGAAGGAAGAGTACGTCAGGGGTGGGGGAGGTGGCAGGAAACCCAACCCTCCCTGGGGACTGTCTCAAGGTTCTTATCTGAGAGCAGCCTGCATCCTGGACCTGCCACTCCCCCTCAGCGTCAGCCCCTTTTCTAAGCAAGGGTAGGAGACACAGGGCCTCCTTGGGAGCTAGCAGCTTTCTGGAACCCCCAGAGGGTCCTTTCCACCCCCACCCAAGGCAGCTATCTTGTGCTCAGGGGTCTGGGCTTTTCTGTTGCGTGGGAGGGAAGAGAAGAGCCTTGGCGGAGGAGGGGGCTCCTGGACCAAGAGTGATGGACACAGGTCCCCCAGGGACTTGCTTGACCTTCTCTGTGGAAGGCCTTCCTCCGTGTGCATTCAAGTTAGAGTGGGAGAGGCATGACCCTAGGACCAACAATCCTTCACCTCGCCTGGAACACTCCACCTGAGTCTTGGCAAGACGTCAGAAGCTGACGGCTTATCTACCACCTCTGGACTTGGGGGCTCAAGGACTAGGGGGCTGCAAGGGAAATGACAGTACCCATCTAATCCGCATCCTCTCTTTGGACTGGTCCTTCCCTGGGAATACTTACTGATTGTTCACTGGGTGATTCTCATATTTAACCCTTGCTCCATTTTACAGAAGAAGCTGAGGGTCAGAGCTCCACAACTAGCAAGTGGCAGCTGGAACCCGAACCAGCTGTGCTGATGTGACCCATTATGCCCCTTGCTCCCTTACAACAGCAGCAGGTGCTCTTCACCAGGAGCCCCTGAATCTGGGGCCCCCTCTATTCCTCTAGGGGAGAGCGATACACATTTGAACTGTGCTCCCTGGAGGTGTGCCACATAGGGCCCTGCCCCCTTTTCTTCTCTCAGTTTTCCAGTTGAGGGCACAGAGGCCAGGAAGGGCCCACAATATCCCTAAGGTTAAAGAAACCAGCCAAGAACTGCTCTAGCCATAGATCAACCATCCTTGCATCTAGACCTGCACATAAGAGAAAGAGCAAGTGGTGGCCCTCGCGAATCGCGCACTCCTCAGACCTGAGATACCGGCCTCTCCTTCCCCACTCCCAAGATCTGCTTCACCAAGTGGCCAGTAGGCAACTGGAAGCTTAGGGAGGAAAGCAGCTCTCTTTATTTCCTTATCCGCTGGCCTCTGGCTGACTCTACAGCCTGCCACACAGCTGTACCACCTGAGGGGTCCAATCCCCCTTCCCACCACCCCAGCACCCCAGAGTCCCAGGGCAGTGGAAAGGGGATTGCTGCCACTGGATACAGAGGAGCTGGAGGCGAGCTTTTGGTAAAGAGCATAACCAGCTGCACATGCCAGCGGGGGAAAGGCTTGTCGGCAGGGGAAGGGGGAGGAGAGAGCAACTGGGATTTTTACTGCTAGCTCCACAGGGTGCTTCTGCCCAGTCCTCCTCCAGCCCTTGGCCATAAAGACCCCACACATAATCTAGGGTGGGAGAAGCTACCCCACACAGTTCCCCCGCCCCCATACACACAGCCCTCCACACGCAGAAGTCTGCAAGCAGATACGACTTAGTCTTTGTCTAGTCCCAGTTCCAAGCTCTTTCCACAGCAGATTTGGCTCAGGAAGCCAGCCAACCCCGCTGGAAGACCGAGCTCCTGGGGGAAGTACGACGTGGCTGACAGTATGCCCAGAAAGCAGGAGTCCTGACTGTGGGATTGGCAGGGAGCTGCCAGCCCCAGGCCTCGAGCCCAGCACCACCCCGGTGAAGCCCCCTCATAATCCTACTACCTAGAAGGCAGGTGCCACTTCCTGCCCACTTGTCCCCACCAGTGCACTCACTTCTGCAGGAATTCCTCCAGCCCACAGGGCTTTAGCACGAAGTCACCCACATCGACACCCCTCAGTTCATCATGGGTATAGCACAGGGTCTGGTAGATGAGCAAGTCTACAGTGGAGGAACCTGCAAGGGGCGAGGCAGGGGAAGCAATGAGGTGGGGCACTGGGGCAGGCGGGGTTCATCCTGATCCCGTCCCCCAGAGCCATCAACAACCAGATAAAGCAGGCAAACACACGGTTTGGGGCTGGGAATCAACGGCAAAAGACCCCACACAGTCAAAACACCGTCACCCCTGCCCCGCCTGTAGGGATGCTCACACCGACTCCCCACTAACTTACAGTTGCAGGTAAAAGTGAGTGGCTCCCGCAGGCTGTCGCACAACACGGTCACCTTCAGGTTAACCTCATCCCCGAGGTGCTCCGGGCTTGGGGTGACAGTGCTCCAGACATACCCAGTGAGGGAGTAGTCTTGGACGTCAGAGCCAGATCGGAGGCTGTGCAGGAAGAGAGGGAGGACCGTCGCTGTGCCTTCAGAAGAGAATGGCCAACAAGAGGCCTGCTGGGACCTCCCGTCCTGAGGCCCAAGGACCCCTCCGTCCCCACTCAGCCCGTGGGTCTGTGGGCCAGGATTGGGAGAGTGGGGAAGCAGGTGGGGGAAACCCTGTTCTTGATACATCTGTTACAGTTGCGAAATGTTTCCCAAGCTCAGCTGAACATTAAGGATAGTTTTAAAACCACACAGCTTTCCACGGAAAAAATTTCCACTTCCTTTCTCTTTCAGCCCCAGATAAGATTACACTCTTATCTCCATCTGGGGTGTGTTTGTTCCTAAAGGCAACTGAGCCTGAAGTGATTGGAACAATTTGGCTGCTAGATGGAGGTTTCCTGAATTTTGTCCAAAGTGTGAAACTCCTAAGATTCCAAAAAGCCTGCAAATACCGGTTGCAGGCAGCATCCCATAGTTGTAAATTGAGATGTATTAAATATGGCTCTTCTTCCTCCCTAGAAAGTTCTGAAAGGGGTGACTCTCCTCCCCAGAGCCCACAACCCTCCCCAACCCCCCAGTCTTTAACTCTTACATATCCAGCATGTGGCAGAACGCAGCAACTTCCTCATCTCTCTCCTCTGAGACCTCAAACAACTCATGGCCATTGGCGATGGCGTGGGGCCGGGAGCCCACCTTTAAGAGAAGAGCAACTTACTCAGTGCCTTTTCCCTCATGCCATCCCCTTCCCGCAGGCTCCTAGGCCTAAACAACTCTTAAACTCTAGGTGTAAAGACTTTCCAGTGAAAGGGGCATAACAAAAATGTGGGAAATCCAGGAATATATTTATCTGCCGTCCTGGCAGACCAAGAGCCAAGTTGAAAGAGTACTTGACGCCTTAGCTGAGTCTGGAAGCCTGGGTGGGATGGACATGAGTGTGGCCGAACCTCCTTCCCGAGAGGCCAGTCTAATAAGCTCAACCCTGCAGGTCAGGTGGTTCCCGGCACGCTGGGCCGTGGGGCTGGCTTTCTGGGGGATGCTCCCAGAGGTGTGGAGGGGAGCTGAGCAGACAGCTGTTGTTCCCCGTCCCACCACTGAGGCCAGAGCGAGTGGGTTGCCCAAACCATCCCCAGGGAAGCTGAGCCCTGGGCAAAGCTTCAACATCCACAGTAAGCCCCAGGGACCCGACTCAGAGAGAGACCGAGAGACCGTGAATGGAGGCAATGACTCAGGCACACGTGCCTTCCCAGTAAGTACTACTTGAGGAAGAAAGCGGCAAAGCAGCTTTCTGGGCAGGAAAGAACCGGGAAGAAGGCTTAGCTCCTCCTGGCTCTCAAGTCTTCTGGTCCCCAACAGCTGGAATGTCAGGAAGCCTGCCTGGGCCCCACTTCCTGTCCAAGAACACGTGTGTGCTGGTGGGGATTCTCACAGACAAGACCTCAAACTGTCTCCCACCACAGAGCTGTTTTCAGTCACCCACGAGGAGTTCTAAAGCAGCCCTCGAACAAGGCCTGCAGCACAGCCGCAGGGAGGAGCTGGTGCATGGCAGGTTTCGGCCTGCCTGCCCAGAGCCACCAGGGAGGCCGCAGCAAGGGGATGAGGTGACAGCTCTGACAGAGTGCCGGCCTGCATCCGGTAAAGGCGGATACTTCCGGGGAGCCAGTGTGCACACACGCAACGCCTCACCTCTCAGCCTCCCCCCTGGCTATTCTCCTGTCCTCCCCGCCCCCTCGGGGCAGATGGCAGCAACTGAGCTCCTCATTTGAATATCCAGATTGTTTCCTCTGAGTGACCCTCTCTCACTGGCCTTGCTCCCCTGGGTGAGCATGCAGGGGGTGCAGAGAGGGGAGGGTAGCCGTGGGGGCAGTTGGCATGGGAGGCCCTGGCTCTGCCAAGTTCATGCCTGTGTCCCAGTCAAAACAATAGTACCACTGTCAGCAACTAACCCACAAAAGTGAGAGCGATAGAGAGAGCGACAGAGACAGACAGAGACAGAGAGACAGCGAGAGGAGGGGAAGGCAAGGAGGGCAGAGAACAGAGCGGTGACTGAGGGCCGTTTTCATGCCTTTCAGTACCACTCACTGGCTCCATAAGAAAACAAAAGCCACTTACGTTTACCCTGCTGGCAGGCCCTGATGGCATCGCCCGATGCTGGCTGGGGGGATCTGCAGGGCAGAGGCTGGCAGCAGGGGTACCAGGCTGGCATTTGGAGCCAACCATTTCCTTAGCTGGCTCCACAGGCCTGGGATAAGGTGGGTCCCTCCGGCTGGAAGCCCGGCGAAGGCGGGGCGGTGGTATGGGTCGAGAGCCCGAGGGGCCCCCCCTCCCAGTGGGATGAGCCCCTGCACCAAGCTGGGGTGGGGAAGACCAAGGCCGCATTTCCCCCTAAGAACTGGCAAGGGCTTTTTGCTTTGCCCTAGCTTCTTCAAGGAGACTCTGGACCAAGCTCCCTCCCAGAACTCTGATAACACACAGGGGATGGGGGAAGGGTGAGGGAGTGGGGGGGAAGCAGGAGAGCGAGCCACAGAGGTGACCACCTACCAGGGTGGCCTGCCGCTGCGCAGGCAGGCCCAGCTGTGCAGAACAGAATCTCCCTGCCCCTATAAATAGCAGGAACAGCCCCACCTCTCAGACCAAGTCCTTTAAAAAGCCCTGCGTTCTAGAGCTGTGACTTAACCCAGGAGCTGCCTCTGCTCTGGGGGACTCTCTTAGCCGAAGCACAGGAAGGAAGGACCACGTGGCTTTTCCAGAGTTGTGAAGGATCCCAACTGCTGGGACACGAGGTGGGAAAGCCCCAGTGTCCCTTAGACAATGGATAAGGAGGAAACAGGGAGGGAATGAGGTGGAAAGCTGTTAGGACAGAACTCATCAGCCACAGGGGTGCCTCTCGACTCCCCTGGGGTCAGGGTTTCCAAGTGCAAAACACAAAGCAGGCTTCAGGTCCCGCCCACGGAGATGTTGCTGACACTTTTTAAACCAGAAAAAGATCAAAGCTGCTCTGGAACCTACGCCATGCTTCTGTGCAGATAGTTTGCTATTTTATACTATATACTGATAAAAGTGAAGTAATTACTGTCATACTGCATACTTTTTTCTTAACATTTTCACTGTGAAAAGAGATGGATGATGGTGAGGATTGCACAACGATGTGAATGTACTTAATGCCACTGAACTGTATACTTACAGTCGGTTAAGATAGTAAATTTTATGGTATGTATATTTTATCACAATGAGAGAGATGTGCGGGGGCACACACACGAGGACAGGGAGGAGAGAGACAGAGGGGGAGAGACAAAGGGAGGGAGAGAGACAGAGGGAGTAACGCGGAGAGAGCCAGCGAGCTAGCGAGTGAGAACAATGGAGCTTTGGGATGAGACAGAGCAGGGCTAGCCACTGCAGATCATTAGGCAGGGTTGCTGAGGGGTCCGGACCAGGGTCTGGGACTTAGTTAGTGAGCACTAAACATCGGTTAGTATCATGACGGAACCTCATCACCACGCAGCATTTTTGGCAGAGCAGAAAGTCAGAAAGCAGAAGGAACCCACCCCAGTGCACAAGGCCATTCGGCCATGCAGTCAACAGTGTATCCCCTCACCCCAGTTCTGTCCTCATATCACGAAGTGGGCATTCCAAAACGCCCGCCCCCAGAAGGACCATTTGGCCAAGATACACAAAATTGGCCCTGAAAGGGAGCCTTCTCTACTCGTGTCCCTCTTCCCTCCCCCATCACCGCCCAGGCGCCCAGTGCCAGAAGCAGAGGGCAGGAGAGGACTGAAGGGGTGAGTGTGGAGCAGATTGTGGTTTGGACAGCAAAGAAGAAAGGGGGACTCTACTTCTGAATGACAAGGGGAAAGGGGACAGAAGAAACATAATCAGGTCCTCACCGGAGCTGCAGAAGTCTGGAGGTTCTTGCCAGGTGTCCCATTTTTCCGGTTGGCGTAGCGGGAGGTGTAGGTGCGGGGGGGCACCTGAGGGGGCATGGTCTTGCTCCGGGCCACAGGTTTTCCAGGAGTGTCCTTGCCAAAGTTCAGGAGTCCCCGGCCCTCCTTCCAGCCCCTGGTGGCGTCCCGCAGCATCTCTGCATCATAGGTTGACTTCAAGTTGAGCCGTGTAATGGCATCATTGATACCGTCATAGTCCATGGACCCCAGTAGGCGCCCTGGACCCCCACCTCCCAGCTCCTCTTCCTCTTCTAGGAGCCGATGCCCCAGCAGTTTGCCTGGAGGTTGTTCGACCAAAGAAAAAGTGTTGATGTCATTGGGCTGGGAGATCTTGGAGGATGAGGGGGACCCCTTTCTGGAAGGCAGGGGAGGAGTGTCCCAGATAGAGACTCGGGGAGGCAGAGGAGGTGGGGACAGTTTCTTCAAAGAGTCATCTGTGTCCCCCGGTCCTGGAGACAAAGAGAGCCCCCCATCTGAACCATCAAAAATGTAGAGATAGTCTCCGGCCAGGGAGCCTTTGGGCCAGGGATCTAGGCCAGGCTGGGAGCCCTGGGAGGTAGAGTGGTTGGGCAGCCCTTCCTGTGCGGAGAGCGAGTTGTAATTGAGGGTAGGGTCAGAGCCAGAGAGACCACGTAAGAGCTTGAGGTCCTTCCGCCTTCCCGCTGGCTTGCTGTAGAAGTCTAGGACGGGCTCATCCCAGCTGATGAGAGAGGGGTCTGTGTTCTTCTTGGCTCTGCTTTCCTCCTTGTCGTGCCGAAGCCGGGACAGAGCATCATACTCCATCTGCAGGGCTTCGGCCATGGCCAGCTCTTTGCGGCTGATGCCCACAGACTCCAGTGACTTCCAGTGATCCCCACTGCCCTGAGTCGAAGACATGGTGAGGATGGGGGACAGAGGAAACAAGGAAGTCTTCTACTTCCTGGCAATGTCAGTTCTGCAGGGTTGTGGCATGGTGTCTGGGCACCTGCAAGGGAGGAGGAAAAATATCAATCATTCAGTCACAAAAAGAGACGTGTCAATAATCTGACTGGGTGACATAATCTGGGCCACTGCCTGTTTCTTGAGTGCCTACAACAGATGGAAAGAAACAGAAAGATGGAGAAAAAAAGAGATACCAAGACAACTTTATTTATCTATTACATCCATCCACCCTTCCATTCATCTGTACATGTTTCCATTTCTGGTCCCTAAATCCCATCCTCATCTCGCTCACAGCTACCCCGAAGAAAGAAGGAGGCACCTTGTATCAGCTAAGAGGAAAAGATGGAGACAAGGGCTCTTCAGTCAATTTAAAGAGGACAGCTCTCCAACGTGGATGGACCTAGAGGTTATCATACTAAGCGAAGTAAGTCAGACAGAGAAAGACAAATACCATATGATATCACTTATATGTGGAATCTAAAATATGACACAAAGGAACATATCTATTAAACAGAAACAGACTCATAGACATAGAAAACAGACTTGTGGCTGCCAAGGGGGGCGCGGGTCGGGGGAGGTTTGGGAGTATGGGATTAGCAGATGCAAACTATTATATATAGGATGAATAAACAACAAGGTCCTACTGTTATAGCACAGGGAGCTATCATCAGTATCCTGTGATTAACCATAAGGGAAAAGAATATGAAAAGGAATATATATATGTATACCTGAGTCACTTTGCTGTAGAGCAGAAATTAACACAACATTGTAAATCAACTATACCTCAATAAAAAATTTTTTTTAATAAAATAAATAAAGAGGACAGCTCTCACACACTGCTGGTGGGGAACGTTAAATGGTACAACCACTTTGGAAAATAGGCAGCTTCTTGAAAAGGTAAACATCCACCTACCATATGACTCAACTATCCCACTCCTAATTACTTACCCAAGAAAAATGAAAGTATATGTCCACACAAAGACTTGCATATGAATATCCACAGCAGTCTTATTTGTAACATCAAAAAACTGGAGACACGATTCATTTTGTTATAAAGCAGAAACTAACACACCATTGTAAAGCAATTATACTCCAATAAAGATGTAAAAAAACAAAACAAACAAACAAAAAAAACTGGAGACAACCTAATGTCCATCAGCAGGTGAATGGATTAAAAAAAATATGATACGTCCACACAACTGAATACTACTCAGCAACAAAAAGGAATTAATTATTGATATATGCAATAACATGGATGAATGTCAAAGTAACTAGTAAAAGAAGTCAGACAAAAGAGTATGAGTGTGTAGGATCCCATTTATATAAAATTCTGGAAAATGAAAACTAATCTACAGTGACAGAAAGCAGATCAGTGGCTCTCTGGGAAGGGGTGGAAAGAGGGTTACAAAGGAGCACAAGGACACTTTGGGGACGAGGAAAATGTTCACTGTCTTGATTGTGGTTTCACGGGTGTATACATATGTCAAAATTTATCAAGTTGCACACTTTAAATATGTAGTTTATTATATGTCAACTATACCTCAATAAAGCTATAAATGAAAAGTAAAACAAAGCCCTATGAAACAGCTACTCAGACTGCACTAAGATCCTCCCAAAATGCACTGATATGAGCAATAAAACAAAGCTTGCCAACAGGTGAGACCCGGGCACCTGATGGAGTACAGGTGTGCCGAAATACTGATTTCCCTCAGCCCTTAGGAAGCCAGACAGACAGATAACACCCGCCACCTGCCAGCCAGCTGCCTCTGGCCACGAGCAGACCCTTCATTCACTCCAGTGTTGGTACCCTTTTCCTTTAAAAGCCGTGACGTGAAAAGGCACTGAAGGCATGGTTGCAACGACAAGGCTAGCTGGCCCAGTGGTTCTCAACCCTGGCTGCACATTAGAAACACTGGGGGAATTTTTTTAAAAGTACTGAAGCCCAGGTACTCTCAAGAGATTCTGATTTAATTGGTCTGCAGTAGGGCAGTGGTACTTTTTAAAACTCCCCAGGAGATTCTAGTCTGTAGCCGAAGCTGAGAACCATGGACCTGTGTGTGTATGTGTTTCAGATTAGGTTGGGGCAGGCGATTGTTTAGTAAGTGGTTTCTGACCCTTCTCACCAGCAGCTGTGAAGTTCACGATTTCATAAAATTATCAAAAATCCTTCATTTTATTGTACTGTTACCCAGCAGGTAACAAACATATGAAGCACGTCCTTCCTCATGACTAGAAAATTGAAAGCATCAATAGGAAAAAAGTTCAGACAGATTCGTGGGTGCTAAGCTCCATCAGACCCCAAAGGAGTTAGGACAAGAGTTATCCCTCAACCTGAGGTGCCCTTCCAGGATCCTGGTGCATCCATCAGGCACAGGCTGGCTCAGTGAGTCTTACGAAGTATTTTCCCCAAAATGGAATAGCCCAAGCCCAGCTTCAGGGCATAACAAAGCTGCTCTCTGCTGATTTCTCTGCATCTTGAGTTTCTCCACGCTTCAACAGCTCCTTATAGATTACTTTTTATCCACAGAGGGTAAGAGGGAGTCTTGCTATTTAAAATTCAAAGGATTTGGATGCACAGATGAAGATACCCAGAACTTGGCTGCCCAGAGTTGGGAAACTGGGCCCAGGAAAAGGAGGGCCTAGTACTTTTGATGGGAGACACAAGATAAATGCTCAAAGGTGAACTGAGATTAAGCCTTTTAATCCAGAGAACAACTGTGTTTTCAGCCCCAAGCTGGGACAAGCAGAGTAGTAACACTGGCCTTAGCCAGGCACCACTGTGAAGAGAAAAACCGAGGACATTGGAAATAATCTCTCTCGCCTTCCTGCCTCTCTTCCCTACTAACTTAACCACACTTGCATTTGGCCTCCCTTCCTTTTTTCCTTTTTTATTTATTTTATTTATTTTTTGGCTGCACTGGGTCTTCATTGCCGCGCGCGCTTTCTCTAGTTGCGGCGAGCGGGGGCTACTCTTCGTTGCAGTGCGCGGGCTTCTCATTGCAGTGGCTTCTCCTGTTGTGGAGCGCAGGCTCTAGGCGCGCGGGCTTCAGTAATTGTGACGCGTGGGCTCAGTAGCTGTGGCTCGCGGGCTCTAGAGCGCAGGCTCAGTAGTTGTGGCACATGGGCTTAGTTGCTCCGCGGCATGTGGGATCTTCCCGGATCAGGGCTCGAACCCGTGTCCCCTATATTGGTGGGTGGATTCTTAACCACTGTGCCCCCAGGGAAATTCCTGGCCTCCCCTTCTTCCTTTTGGTCTCAGGGAAAGCAGGTCCCCGCCTCCCACTGAGGTAGAAGCCTCCAGAGCGCTTGCCCCGCACACCGGATCTCCTCGAGGCTGATGCTCCACCAACTTCCCTTCCCTCTCCTGTACTTCACCTCTTCTCCTTAACTTGGTCTCTCTCTTCAGCACATAAACATGATCAAGTTTCTTCTAGCCTTAAAAAGAAAAAGAAGAAGGAACAAAAACCAGAACCCTACACCCTAAGCACCCTCTCTTGCCTTTCTGTCCTTCAGCTCATACCCTCCCTGTTCTTCCTTCCCTTCCCAGTCAGGCTTCACAGAAGACACGCGATGTCTCTCAATTCTCCCTTATTTACTCTTCAACTCACTGTAATCTGACTTCTGCCACCAACATTACACTAAAATGCCCCAACAACAATGCCCAGGCCACCCAGTTCCACAGGCATTTCTATCTGCCCAGACATTGCTGCTGCACTTGGCTCTCAGACCATTCCCTTCTTCCTTACATCCTCCACACCCTGGCTTCCATGACACTACTTTCTCATGTTCTCCACCTCTGTCATTGTCCTCCTCTTCCTTTGTCCACCCCTGAAATATTGGTGTTGGCTCAGGACTCCATCCTCAGCCTCTGTTAATGTGACAACCCCACTGGGCAGTCTCATCTGTTCTCCCACTCACATCACATGCGTGTTGATGATTCCAAATGTGTGTCTCCCCCGTCAAGTTGATATGCCCACCCATATCTCAAACCCCAGATGTCCAAAACTGAACTATCACCTTCTTATTTCCTTCCCACAACCTTCTCCTCCTTCCTGGTTCCCCATCTGGGTGAACGGCACCATCCAGTCACCCAAGCTAGGAACCCGACAGTCATCCTGGATTCCTCCTTCCTTTTCACCCCATATCCAATCACCAAGGCCTGCCAACTTTTCCTCTTAATACTTCCCCAATCTAGTCCTTCCTAGGGCAGCTAACTGCTGCTGCCCTAATTAAAGCCGTATTTTCTCCCACTTGGGCTATTACAATAGCCTTCAAACAGTCCTTCCTCCTCCTAATCTTTCCTTCTCTAAAGCTTGCTCCCCAGAGCAGTCAGAGGGCTCTTTCTAAAGTGTAAATCTGATCATCTCACTCTCTGCTTAAACCTCTTCAAAGGCTCTCTATTTGATTCCTTTACAAGGCCTTTATCACCAGCCCCCATCTCCCTCTCATCTCCAACCATTCAGAACCACGCATTTGATACCTCTGGGATTTCGTGCAGTACCTTCCTGCTCCAGGGCACGCCCTTCCCAACTGCCAACGCTCTTTGCCTATGTGATTCTAACTGCTCAGACTTTGCTCTGACATCAAGTTCTTCAAGAAGCCCTCTCTGAACCTCCAGATTCAACAATGTGCCCCACCTTCACGCTCCCAATAGCAACCTGTATATACCTCAAATATCATCTTGAAACATTTTATTCAAAATTAAATGTGTATGGGGCTTCCCTGGTGGTGCAGTGGTTGAGAGTCCGTCTGCCGATGCAGGGGACACGGGTTCGTGCCCCGGTCCGGGAAGATCCCACATGCCGTGGAGCGGCTAGGCCCGTGAGCCATGGCCACTGAGCCTGCGCGTCCGGAGCCTGTGCTCCGCAACGGGAGAGGCCACAGCAGTGAGAGGCCCGCATACCGAAAAAAAAAAAAATTTTATGTGTATGAATCTGTCATCTCCCACCAAGATCCTCAAGTTCCAAAATCACCTCATT